ATATTCTTTCCATCTTTGCATTATTTCCACTTCGTCTGTCAAAATCTGTCCGTGAGCATTTTTCACTGCAGTATTTTCTATCTTTTTCCCTTTTCTCATAGTTTTTAGTACTTTATAAAATAATTTTTGATTACTTTTATAATTTTCTTCCATTTTTGTTCCGAATTCCGACCATGCTTTCTCTTTAGCTGCAGCTATAGTGCTTTTAACAATATTTCTTTGCCTTTTATATTCTTCCAGGCTTTCTTCAGTTTTCTTTGTTAAGTAAACTTTCCATTTTCTCTTTTTACTTTGAACTTGTTGTTTTATTTCTTCATTCCACCACACTGTTTGTTTCCTGTTGTTTAATATTTTACTTGTTCCACATGTCTTCTTGGCACATTCCAATATTATTTCTTTAAACATATTCCATAGTTGATTCGCGCTAATATTTTCATTGTCTGCCAATATTTTGTCTGTTTCTGCGTTTATCAGCTGTTCATATTTTTCTCTCACTTTTGGGTTTGTTAGCATGTATGATTTTATTGTTTCATGTTGTCTCATCTTATCGGTTTTCTCGTTTATTTCGTATTTTGGATTCTTATCATTCTTAATATTAGTTACCACCAAGTAATGATCACTATTTATTTCTGATCCTCTTTTAACTCTCGTATCCATAATTTGCTTTCTATTATTCTTCTCAGTTAACACATAATCGATTAATGATTTTTCTCCTCTGTTGGCTTCTACTCGCGTGTATTTATGTATCTCTTTGTGTTCATAAAAAGTGTTTGTTATAATCAAGTTATTTAATAGGCAATACTCCAGCATTCTCTTTCCATTATTATTTCTTTTATTTTCACCATATTGACCTATTACTGTGTTATATCTTCCATCTTTCTTACCCACTCTACTGTTAAAATCTCCTAATACATATACTATTCCTTTACTTTCTTCAGTGACTAATGTTAATTCCTCCCAGAATGTGTCTTTTATTTCTGCTTTTTCATCTTCATCTGGCCCATATACACATATCACAGTCATTTGTTTTCCATCTCTTTTCTTTATCTCCACTGATAAAATTCTCTCCGTATGTGCTTCCCATTTACTCACACTTTGTATTAATTTTTGATGAATTATGCATCCGACACCTGCTGCTGCCCTTTTATTATTTTCTACTCCACTATAT